CATTACACTGACACCAGTTTCCCATAACGGTGACTTGTAGATGTTAAAGTTGTTAAAGAGTATGTAAATAGTGATTTTAAATCTCTTGATCTAAATAGTCTATTGTAGCTTAGCTGGTCTTTGGACTTAACTTCCAGTAACCTGAATCGGAGCAGAAGGTAGAGAAGCTGAAGATTTGAGAACACTAAGTACATATACCTTAGAAAGAAAAAGCGTAAACTGGTCAGGATTCGTGGTGTCCGTATAATGAGGTCCTTAAAAGTAAGGATACGAAAATTGGGAAGAAAACAAAACCATAACGAAATAAAAAATAGAATTTGCTACCTCACATTCCTTTCCCCCTTTCGAAAAAAAGAAAGGGATTACATTAGTCACCGTTTATAAAAATTCTTGTATTATTCTTTCTATTGTTTAGTTAACCTATACAATTTTAGTTTTACGTTTAAACGGTACCTCGCATTCTACTTAACTGAGTCATTTAAAGCTTCTAAAAGTTGACTGACACCAGTTTCCTGTATCAGTAACTTGCAGATATTAATGTTTCAAAATAGTATGTAAATATTAATATCAATTTTTAATATCTTCATTAAGTTGTGTCACGAATTAGTAATTGTTATTACTTATTATTGACAACTTTACAAACTGTAGTCTTGTACATATTGTATTTTATAATTCCATTTATTTATAGAAACTTAATCCTGATGTTTATAATATATATTTTTTTGATAGTAGAAAGTTCTGGCAATGGGGATATCCATAAACTACATCTAAACTATACAATTAGTTTCATAAGTGGTCAAAAAAGGAGTTCTTGGAAACAACTACAAATACCCAACATCTGCAACCGTAGAAGAACGAACAGAACTATTTACAGATATTAAACAGACAATATCTAAAGTTCAAATGCATCGAAAGCTACAGCGAGAGGCTTACAACCGTTAGTATCTTTCGGACACAATTAAAAGTAGTTAATTGACTAATGCTATTATTAAGAATATATTAATTATCTTCTGTATTAAACTGACTTATTCTAAAATTTATTCTAAGAACAATGGACTGTTTAAATTTATTTGTTACTCCATTTTTTTATATTAAAAAAATCTGTTTAATGGTAGAACAATTTTACTTGTTTAAATTGAAGAAAAGATAATTATTTCTATATCAGAAAATGTTCATCGGCCACTTTTTTCTACAACGACACAGAAGTCAAGAAGCTTGAAGAG